AGAGCGGCAAATTGTAAGTCCGAACATTTTCTTCGTATGCACACAGCGACTATCTGTTTCCCTTAACTGTTCTCTGATGGTCCCGGTAAATTCGTAGAATGCCTAAGAAGACGTACTACTGAAACCGTAATGAAAACGGGGATAACTGTACTGAAACTGTCCTACATCGTTATAATGCTGAAAGGAAAAGAATTTTGCTAACACTCTAAAACCTCAATTATAGTTATCTTCTTGGTTTTTGGTATATTTTGGTTCAGAGAGCACAAGAACCGAGTAAAACAGGTATATATTTCTCATCAGGCAAATATCCCAAGAATGAAGTGACAGAGGTAACGGTTGATTGTCTTATAATCGGGTTCTTAAGTTCCGCCCCAACGAGATCACTACCCTTTTCTGTACATGTTTTATTCAAGCAGCACGATGAATTGCTTAGTGCTTTACAATATACGCGATTTGTTCTCCATCACCCCAGAAATCAGTTACCCTCAGATTGTAAACGTTCAAAATTAAAGTCATCCTTACAATCTTTTCAGATCTTATTATACTGAAATAGACATTTAAATTTAGAGTACATTTAAGTCCTGGGAAGCAAATCACTTGTTCTGACTGTCACGACGGCCTTAAAGCAACTTTAATTTCCATCTGTCGTACCCGTCATGAAATGGAGCAATCAACTGTAATCAAAACACACGATACAATATTCTTACCAGACATCTGATTTGGTGGTGAACAGCCCATCACGAATTGCTTCGGGAGACATCCAACGAACGGGTAATTTGGGTTCGTTGCGTTTTCTGTAGCAGTCGTTTTTGTAAATATCTCGAGCCAAACCAAAATCACACAATTTCACAATCCTCCCACTTGGATGGTTGTGACTGACTAGACAGTTGCGCGCTGCAATATCTCTGAAGCGAAACGAAATGCAAGAGAATATAAGACAGGCTGATAAGTTGGAGGAACAGCCCAGAACAGCTCACGGGTACATTTTGGTAAATTCAAGAGATATTTTTGCAACTATGTGGTGAAGATTTAGCGACTGAGGAACTGTTATTAATATCAGATAAATGAACGGTACAACTTGGACACTCTGCTTTGGGTGGCAATACATGTTTTCGTAATTCTGACAAGAAAAATCTATCCACAAACATTGTTGATTGCACTACTTTCAATATGAAGATATTTTCTTTGGATCTGTTCGCCGAGCTTAGCAGTTGGATTGCAAACGTTTCATCACCAATCGAGATGACTTCGTCAGTGATATTGTCATTCAACTTACACTGACGATGTCACCTCGATTGGTGATGAAACGTTTGCAATCAAACTGCCAAGTTCGGCGAACCGAACGCCACGCAATCAGCGCACACGAGCTACCTATACTTCACAACATTGCCGATATTTTTTCTTCCGGGGGAGAAAGCATTTAGTAAAAGGAATTTACATGGAAGCTGGCTTTAACCCTTTCTAGACAACCCTTGTTAGAATAGGATTCACGTGGAGTGCTTGCGAAGGCTTTTCCGAAGAGATAAGTAGTGTGAGAGCAAACCAGTCAGTTTCAAAAGGGGAACTGAGGTTCCTGTCACAGGAGATGGATGAACATCTTGCTTATCAGGAAATTCTCTGTTGTAGCGAGTTGCCTTAGTTGAATAAGTAACTAGTTCAGTTGTGCCAAACAGGAACAACTTCCACGAGCACATCGCGACTGTGGGGAATTCTTACCGTGTTCTGTAACATTAAAGCCTGCACGAAATCTTTCCAGTTCCATTTATATGTGATGTGAGCCGGATTGCTAGTTTTCATAAAGAGGAAACAAAAATGCGGACACATCGCTCAGCCTCTATCTATCAGAAGGTCGACTGATAAGCCAATCTAACTAAGTTACTTCATTTTCCTTTTTCAACGAATTCAAACTTTTGAAATCCAAGCTTATCTCCACTTAGTACTAGTGCGCGCGAAAAAGTGGAAATCACCAATGCCATACTTTTTGTAACCATTTCGCCTGTTTGCTCCTTATTTTTGTTGGAGAATGCTTTTTTATCGTCGGGTTTCTCAAAAGCGTTGTTGCTTCACGGTTTGCAACTTTTGTAAAATGATGGGAGATTCGTCCCGACAATCGTGAAGAAACATATTCAATTTTCAACACCATGGTAGCACAAAATCAATTCTCATAATGATACTTTCGAACACGCAACACGCACGATTCCGATAAGTTCATTGTCAGTTAGAATTTAAAAAATACGTCAATCACCGAATCATCCACCTACATTTCCCAAGAGGAAGTGAATTCGTCATTTCATCTACAGTTCACTGTCGGCAGTGTAAATGCACCTGTCCACAGAACAATGGTGGGTCTAGTGAGGCAATTTTTTGCACGGCCGATTTGGTAAAGTCATACTCACCGGAGCCATTTCTGTGTCTGTGTATGCTATGGTATTTTCGTAACTGGCTTTCAGCCGGATCTTCGGCAAATTGAAGGGCAAAGACGGACAATAAATTAAAAAGACAGCGTCCGTTAAACGGTTTGCAGATTGCCTGAATTTTTTTTAGAATCTGTAAGGAGAGACTTTTTCCAAATTTACAGGTGCGTTGGTCGTTACACACAGAGACACACACGTATTCGGACAGTCACCTTTACTTAATTCTCGGCAGAAGTTTTATTGTTTCACGTAAATAGTTTGGGTCTAGTTTATGAAACACGTGGTGCCCAGAACAACTGGGACTCTGACTGGTATTGGTTGAAATGTTCCTGCTTTTGGACGGCAATGGCACGTATAATTTACTTTATTGGAAGGCAGTGAGGAACTATTATGTGCATAAAATCAAATGCCTCATGACAAGGATATTGCATTTTTCATTTTTCGTAAGACTGGTTTAGACAACTGTTCAGCTGGCGAAAAATATTAGCTGAAATCCACTACACACAAGTGTTCGAGCAGACGTAATGTAGATACTTCACATTTTTAAGTGCGTAAAAATCCGTTTAACTGTTCAGGCCCCAGGATGCCAGCAAGTTAATGAAACCTAGTTTGCTGTCGGGCTCTCATTCTACGAGAAACTCGAGGTTTTAACTCTATTTTTCACTAAATGAATACTTTTGTCATTGTGTTTCATCTTTTTGTACAACAAATACTTAACGCACAAAAATTCACAGTAATGTGTCCGATGGTCAAATGATTAAGCGTTGATTTCTTTTGAGGTGATACGAAATTGGCCCATTTCAAAGATAGTTGAATTTTTACACAACTACGAGTCTGACAAGTTCACTGAAAGGTCACTACAAACAATGCAAAAAGTATGGGGATCGACGTTTGAAGTTCCAAAGTGTTCTGGTTACGGCCTCTGAAGAGCGAGAAGAACGTTCACACGTGAATTTTGACTTATGGTCTGTAACTTGGAGCCTTAGGTTGTTGGGTGAGTTTTTGTGAAAATGCGCTTGCGGACCTTCCTTACGTAATCTAAAGAAGTATACTGGGCAACTGACATCTGTCTATTCGGCATACAAGTTTTTAATCTGAAGGCAGTGTCATCATCAAAAATTTATGAATTCCGGTCTTGTTATTTACACAGACTCAAACAGCCGAATTAATCTTGGGAAATATTTTCTGTCTCATACTGAGTTCCTTCGCAGCATACTCTACTCTTCAAAGGGTAACGGGAAGTAGATGATTCAGTCAACCAAAAGCGATGACTGAATGCTTCCATGCGTGGCGTTCTCATAACTCAGCGCGGCCATCTTCCTGCGAATCACCTGACTCATAAGCCAAAATGTCCACGTTTTCAATGTTATAGTCAACGCGGCTTTCCTCCAGTGAGCGGTAAAGTGTCCCTTTCTGAGATTTGAGAAGCTGGTAATAAACCGTGAATTGGCAGACGGATGTGTGATAAAATTCGAGCACCTCACCATCCTGCAGCCAAGGGTTTTCTCAGCGTGGACGAAACCCTCCGAGTCACTGTTTTCACGCGGCATAAATATCAAATTTCGATTAAAAGTACACTAATAAGGAATCTACTCTTCGTAAACTGTCACGTCGCTTTCTACAAAGTCTACTTTAAACGGCCGCACGGCCAATGTGTTTTGATTTTACCGTAAGCACATGATCGAAATCAATATGAAATACATCTCGAGGTGAATCCTATCGTCAGTTATTGAGCCGTTATCACAGTGACTCCCGACTGATACACTCGATCATAATTGGTGAACTTACTGAGAACAGCCGAAAAAAAATCGGTATAGACAGTTGCCACCATGCTCGGTGACTACGAAATATTTTTAATAACGGCATTTTGAAAACCAAAGCAATTGGAAAATGAGCATTTTTCAAGTCGCTCACGAATTTTTCTCTAGATAGTGGATTAGTTTGACGAAAACGAGAGCAATATGTCTGCTGGCTATGGAGGGTGAAACCAGGGGCGAGCTTATTGTCATTTTTCGACAGCATGATGAGTAGTGTTTCATTTTGGGAAGCAAGTCTGCTGTTTCCACTTTTGTTCAATTAGTGCTGAAAGCCTAACAGGCCGCATCTAATTTGGACGGAGTGAAGTCTCAGTTGGTACCGTTTTTCTGAGCGACACAGAAAAGTTGCAAGTCACATTCCGTTGTCCTACGGTATGCAAGCTGCTATAAATGTCGCCACATGGTGCTCTGATTACTACTTATTTCTGGAGTTATAAATCGACAAAACAAACCGACTAGGCGCGAATCTTGAGTCCAGTATATGCACCAGGTTTTCTTGGCTTTTGAAGTTATTCCTCCACCCGGTGAGTGCAGTAGGAGTGGAGTGATTGAGATCTGAACTTGAAAGTCAAATCCATAACCAACAAAAAGCGCTCGCTGGCCTGTCGGGCGCACAAGATTTATGAATTCCATCATCCCTCATTAGGTGTCAGGGCATGCTACTAAAGAATTTTGTAAACTTGAATGCAAGCAATTTTTCGGTTAATTAAAGTTGGACATGCCTGAACGTGGAAAAAAAAACAGAAGTGACTGTGTTTAGTAGCCCCTTGATGTTACACAACTTGTTCAGCTAACAGTGCAGGATCCCGGAACGGAAATACGTCATGCCTACAGTAAGGCGCCTCTTGCGCTGGTGATTATTAACTTAGGACTCAAAAAAGCATCGGAATCTATTGTACATTGTTTCGGATGAGCCGAAACGAGATGTTGACCCCCGTTATAAATCTGTGGATGTTCAACTCACTACGTCTCTTCGACGGAGCGAAAAGTTTGCAAGCCAATCGCCAAGCGGTCTGATCATATGAAGGTTGAACAATTTCTAGTGAGTTTTCAGCCTTCCAGTACAAAGATGTCAGTTAGTACTTTCAATTATACTGGTATTTCCAGCAAATGGAATTTTTCACAAACTGAACGCAATGTACTTTGTAACCTCCGTCAAGCCAGTATATGGTATACTCGAGCGAAGTCATTATAACACAATGATGATACGTACGCTGAGGCAGCGCCATTACCGAAAGGATAAGCCGCTGCATGATAAGAGTATCGTCAGTATCCGTTCGAGGAATAAAGCACGGGCTAGCTGCATTACAACTTTTTGTCGGATTTTACTTGCTCGAGTAGAGTGACTATATTGGGACGGCCACGAAGCGTTCATGTGATCGTGTTCGCGAACGCTAGCCACCCTCAGTGGGCAGCTGATCAGTATGGTGTCTGGCAGTCACAATCTAAAGTCTGCTTGTTTACTATGACCAGCAGCTGAACATCATCAAGTCGTTTTCATTAGCCATCTGCGTCTCATGTCTCGGGCAAGCATCCGGTTGCACACATAACATCGTTGGACACAAGAAGTTTTTTTGCCAAAGGACTTGTTTGACTGTCTGGCTTGCTATCACACTTATAAGTCAAGGCCCACCTATGTTGAGAGTCACGTGCTTCTTATGTGCCACATCAAGCTTCCGTGTCACGTGATACAATGTATTATAATATTCGCACGTGGTTGACAAAACGAAGTTAGTATCTTCATTAAAACACAAGAGAGGAAGTGTATGAGACCAGTGAACAAAAAGAAATGCCCAATATTCGGAAACAAAACTTTTAATAAAATAATGTGCCGAATAATTGTAACAATTACTATGGATTTTATGCCTTAGTTCAATTAACGTTTCGCCTGGGTTCTTCGAGGATATCTGTCTAAGTGAAATTAGATTTTTCGCTACGCCGTTACTATCTCATTTGAGATATGAAGGATATTAAGCACTTCAGCTCAGAAAAAACTCTAGGTTTAACCATTACCAAGTCACACTTTGTGATGAAACTAGGCTGCCTACAGAAAAGTTGCTTTATCAGATGAGATTGCTAGGATAGTTACACCTAGCCAGACTCATTCGCTCAAACTTTTCACGGACTTCGTTAAGTCTGGCTCCGGCAGGTTAATAGATGTCTGCCAGCTTCACGGGCGCGCACTTTATGTGATTTGAAATCATCCTATAACCAGCTGAGTTTCTCCATTCGTTAGTAGACCATGTTCACTACATATGAGGTAGGTGATTATTTCTCAGGCTGGCAATCTACGCACAAGCTTGTGAATCATATAGCAAACACAAGTCTTTCAGCTATCAGGGTTTCTCACCTATGAACAAAGTGCTGTTCTTCCAGATACCGACATCCTTGAGCAATATCCCTCATGATGCTGACAAGTGCGGCCAAGTCCAACTGTGCAATCAAGGTAATCACGTTGGAATTAGTACTAAACGCACCGCCGCCTCCGTTTCCACCTGCTGCTGCTGCTGCCGCCGTACTTGTCGTGCTCGTGTTCATTGATGAACCTTCGGAACCAGCAGCTGTTGGCAGATCCGTTGCGTTTGAGCCAGCTGCACATATGGCCGCTGCAGCGAACATATTTGCTGCCACATGTGGGGCAATTCGTGGCCGGGCACGATGCAGGTAGTCTCTCAAATTCCCCTGGTCCATCATTTCCAGTACCAAGCACTGTTGGCCTGGTGAATCGAAGGATACCCCAAAAAATCGAACAATGTTTGCGTGCTGATAGCGGTGCATTAATGTTGCTTCACGCTTGAATTCGGCTTCGGACAGGGATTTGCTATTTCGGACCTGAAGTTTTGACAGAACGGAAAGTCACTAAATGAGACGTTCGATATAACCATCTGAAATAACAAACGGGTCGTTCTACCGGCAAAATGTGTGACCGATCACGCTGTGGAACAAATCAAGATTCGAAAAAAACTGATATGGTTGATGCAGCTGTCTGACAAAATAGTATTAGATTTTTGAGGAATCTTAGTTTATTAGTTTTTGTCTTAAAGCCTACGCATTTTTCAACGCAAAACTTTTAAGAGCCAAACTTTTTGGACAGAGATGTGAATAAAAGCAGTAGCCGTGGACATATCGTAAACAAATGTGCAAAGTCACATGAAAACCTCACGTTCATTGGAGACTGAAAACGTGGCTGAGAATTGAAATTCTCTGATTCGATGTAGGATGCAAACATATTCGTTATCTCTCCCCGTTACCAAAGTCGCAAAAAGCCGTGTTTCTGCGCACTAAAAATCACGTCGAATGTCAAAATTACAAAAACTGCTCACTGAATCGCAGCATGTAACATCCACTTGGAATCTTCCACAACGCCTGTCAGCCTTTGTGTGTACCAAGTTCTGCTTATGACGTGGGTTACTCTCATCCTTCAAAACGACATTAGTGTTTTGGAAGCATTTAGATGACTTATATACTATGTGGGTGTTGTGAGTTTCAAACAGTTTAATAAAGCAATATCGGAACACACACAAGTGCGGTAACTGAAATTTCAGAGATGACGGCAAGTACTTCTATTGATAAAACGTTAAAGGCAAGGTTAGGTAAGAGCAAAATCATCCAATATTATATCAGTGTGTACGTTAGGTCGGTTTCGATTAGGACGTAAATTGTAGGTCTGTGTAACTGGCTTTTGCTGTAATATCCATTATTTACAGACACTTATGCCTATGGTTGTGCCTGAGTGTGGTTATTAGGGTCTTTGGAAGAATCGTTGGGCTGAATTTGAACTCTATCGAATCGAAAAAAAGATTAGAAAGAAAACAGTACAGACACCTGATTAACAAAGTTTTATACGGGTAACTATCCATACCTTGAGGGCAACCTTTTCGAATCTGTCACCATCAGAAGCGTTGACGTGTAGCCAGCCTTCCCACACCTTGCCAAATGCACCGCAACCAATATACCTTTCAAAACGGATGTGCGCCGCAGATATTTGGGTTACTTGTTCGAAACTGAGTAAGTCAGATTTGCCAATTCCGTATAACGAATTTACTTCCTGATTCCACATGGGCTCTAATGTTGACAGATCAAGCGGGATTCCACTTGTGGTCAAATCGCTCCCACCGCCTAATCCGAACGAATCGTTTCCACTTCCTGAATTCATGCGCCGAGAGGGGTTGAAACTGATGAGGAAAGGGTGTTTCCCCGCTTTACCATCAGCCCTCCGTCCTTGGGTGTAAAGAAACAAGATAGAGTTATATCGGATTGGACCGAAGCTTTGGCTTAACGTTTCCGGTTAAATGGCGATTTAAAAGATGTAAATGAGGCTCCATCGTGTTAATGTGGGTGGTCAATGTTCGGAGTTGAAAATCACCAACATAGAGTAGTTCTATAAGGTTGTGCGTCCAAGTTTCCACCAGGCAACTCAAATGCAAGCAGTCGGTAGGTATTTTCCGTTTTTACCATAAAGATTGCTTGTATTGGGATGAGGTTTAATGATATTTCATCCTTTCAGAGGAAGATCTTACCAGAAGAAGTGTGTTTTACAACGTGTAGTGTACTTACACAAGAGAGGTTGAATGGAATGACACTGGGTCCAAGTCCTTTTGGGAGGATCAATAGGAGAGAGCATATTGGGTTGGTCGCAAGCAATGGAAAGCACAAAACAACTAAAAGTGAAAGGGTTAGCCCGCAGCGAATGAGTCGGTTTAAGGGGCATTATTTACTAAGAGTCTTGTATTAAGGGGCGTTATTTATTAAGAGTCATTTGTCCTAAAAATGCGGATGTCAGAATTCAAAGGATAGCTAATAAACTATCTGTGGATTCACTACATCAGTTTCCCTGCTCAATATAGGCTTTTTTGAAGTGCCTCTCAATTAAACTAGTACGTTGGGGCTGTTGCCGTTTCCAATGAGTCCATTCATCTAAACTTTTACCTGTTTCCGTAAGTCAGTCTGGTGGCTTCCTGTGACTAAAAGTTCATGTTGATTATATATATATGTATATATATATATATCAAGATAGAGTTATATCGGATTGGACCGAAGCTTTGGCTTAACGTTTCCGGTTAAATGGCGATTTAAAAGATGTAAATGAGGCTCCATCGTGTTAATGTGGGTGGTCAATGTTCGGAGTTGAAAATCACCAACATAGAGTAGTTCTATAAGGTTGTGCGTCCAAGTTTCCACCAGGCAACTCAAATGCAAGCAGTCGGTAGGTATTTTCCGTTTTTACCATAAAGATTGCTTGTATTGGGATGAGGTTTAATGATATTTCATCCTTTCAGAGGAAGATCTTACCAGAAGAAGTGTGTTTTACAACGTGTAGTGTACTTACACAAGAGAGGTTGAATGGAATGACACTGGGTTCAAGTCCTTTTGGGAGGATCAATAGGAGAGAGCATATTGGGTTGGTCGCAAGCAATGGAAAGCACAAAACAACTAAAAGTGAAAGGGTTAGCCCGCAGCGAATGAGTCGGTTTAAGGGGCATTATTTACTAAGAGTCTTGTATTAAGGGGCGTTATTTATTAAGAGTCATTTGTCCTAAAAATGCGGATGTCAGAATTCAAAGGATAGCTAATAAACTATCTGTGGATTCACTACATCAGTTTCCCTGCTCAATATAGGCTTTTTTGAAGTGCCTCTCAATTAAACTAGTACGTTGGGGCTGTTGCCGTTTCCAATGAGTCCATTCATCTAAACTTTTACCTGTTTCCGTAAGTCAGTCTGGTGGCTTCCTGTGACTAAAAGTTCATGTTGATTATATATATACGTATATATATATATATATATATATATACGCGAAATCTTTGCTATCCGAATAAGATATGAAGCTTTACTTTCTGATTTACTTGTCATTCATTGTGATCTATCGTAAACTGCAACCGTTTAATGCAAAGATGAGGTCGGCTTCCGGGATTTGTTTTCAATTTTACTCCTTATGTTAGGTAAAGTCGCAAGTTGACAGTTCTCCCCGAGGGTGAGTAACCACACCTTAGGTGAACAAGCGTTAACGCGAAACTTCAATTCTTGTGTCACGTATCCGGGGATTTTGACTAGTTAGAACTGCATCCCATTGGGCTTATTCACTCTCACGATGGATAACGGGCAGCCTAACCGTCTGTTATACAGAATGATATCGGTAACCAGTAATTTTGTATAAAGCTTCAACGGCGCTATTGGAAATGTTTATCACCGCGGACGAAGGAGTCAGTTTCACCGTGAAGTATAAGGGGAGAATATGTGAGTAGTTTCGTTTATGAAAATATGCTGTGATATCTCGAATATCATCCCAACTGAATTATGAGGCGGCCTGTGTGCTGCATATTCAGTTGTATAATATCATGAAGGAAAGATTCAGCTGGGTCTCTCGTGAAAACCAAAGTGATTTGCAAATGAGTGTATTTCTCGATAACATGTTATGTTTGAGGAGGGGGGTTCATGAGCAGAGAAGTGCCTGACGTCATACAGTTTTATGGAGAAGCGCTCCATAATTACGTCCTTGAAGCGAATGCCCAGTAACTTATGACGCCTGGTGTTTCTCTTGGTATGCCATACGCCTTTACTTACCGCGGTGATCGCTAGGTTCGATAAAGTGCACTCATTTTTCGCCATGAAAATAACTACACTTATTGCCAGTATACTGGATGACTGTTCGAAGCCCGACAGTGGAGATGGTACAGCCTCGTCTTCCTGGCTGTACACGTTTCCGACACATGCGTTGTGTGGACTCCGTGCAAGACAGCTCAGGCATCAGCTACTGGATAACGAGGAACAGATGATCTGAAGGACCAAACGTTACGGAACGACATAGTTGCCGGTATGTAACTGTTTGTACATAATACAGTTATATCTCGCCTGTAACTTGAATAACAGAGAGAAAACAGACACCAGCATGTTGAGACACTTCGCACCGGCCGCTAGTGTCAAGTAATAAACGTGTTTATAAGGTAACCGGAAGATAAAATGATTATCCGAAAACCGGACAAAATTTCGACCTAACACGGTGGGTTTTCTTTCACCAAGTCCGTAGCACACAAACTGGACCACATTCCTTAGGCAGGCACGTGCCAAAAGGTTACGCGTGAAATACCACGAGAATCGGATTCTCATTATAAAAGACAGTAACATACTGAAATTCTGTCAGTCGTGCCTCCGTTCTAATTCAGTTTAACACTGACGGCGCGTGATAATTCTAATCCTAGATGGTTGAATTTAAAAGCAAGCTCTAAGTAAATTGGCTTATGGGCTACTAGCTCGCGGTCGGCTGCGTTAATGCTCAGTTTGCTTCCCCCCCATGTAGGCAAAAGGACCAGGACAGCTTTGTAAATTTCCATCTCTCTCGTTGGTAACCGGAAGGTCAGAGTGAACCGTATTGTACCTATGAACAATCTCAAGCATGTACACTTTTTCCTTACCACGTGTCGCTTGTAATACAACAATGTTTACAGGAATTCGGCAAAACAACGTTTCATCATGAGCATGAAGATGTCCACAAAAACTGGACAAAGCTGACTGCATCAATTATCTTATAGAATTCCAAGACTCACGTCATACTTGCATGGAAGAATGACAGTTTTAAGCACCATTTTGGGATAGTCTGACTTGCAATAGTTAGCTCAACCGGTTCACTTAAACGGTAGTTTATTTTATGCAGTGGAACTTTGATGAAAGTACTGCATATCAGTCGAACAATCTATCTCATCTCTAATTTTCTTATGTTCAAATTAATCAGTCTAGTCCAGAGAATCATGGATACCGTAATTTATGGATAAAATCGGTTTGAGTGGTGGGACATGATAATATTTTTTCGAGAACCCATGAAGTCTAGATGAATGGCTACTGGTAAAGGCCTTTATATCAGTCTGTCGATGTTTATTAATCAAACATAACTGATGGCGTATACATGGCTCTTCAAGCGTAGCAGGCTGTTCTCTATTAACTGCAACATATCGTGCACCGACATTTTACTTGTAAGTCAAGAAGTCTAGGGTTAGCCCTGGTGATCTTTTCATCTTTTTTCAACAATGTCATGGTAGTGCATATTAGTTCTACTTCCGCTGAAAATACAATGAAACACATATCACCCGACATGCAATTTCGAGTTAATTCGTGTATGCCTTTAATTATTAGCTAATGTTCGGTCACTTTGTCGACTCCCCTTTCACTGTTCCACTCAAAAGTCAGAGGATACATAGAATTCTTTTATGTGTTCATTCCTAATTCGCCAAAAGTGGTCTGTTTGTGAAGTGCTATGGGAATGTGTGTATGTTGTTGCAACTTTTTTTGTGCATTTGCAACTAATTTATGAGGTGGTGTAGACACGATAATGCATTTTACTTGTAAACCAAGCCCATCAATAGGCTAACACCCAGCCTGTTCCGCCGACCTGGAATCTGTACGTCACTCCAAACAATCAAGGTAAATAGCTGAACATATTACCACTTGATATCTCGTTGACGTCATAAATCTGTCAGATAAGCACCCGTTTTTCAACTCATACGTGCTCCAAGATACATATGTCTGACTGTGTTTTAATAGGATAAGTCAAATAAATGTTTCAAACCAAGTGGGAGTCTGGGTATCGGGTTAAATAAGATAGACATTACTGGCAATTGGAATCTCTCACATAGAAACACATGTAAACGATTCGCTATCCCCAATTGATCGTGACCTGTAAATGTTAGGTATTCAAGAACGGACAGTAGCTGTGAATTAAACAAGAGCCGCGTAGCGATACTGACGTTGGTCAATTGGTCTTAAGATGCGATGTTGGCCCAAAATTGCGAACTTTGAGGCCGTCTGGCAACGATAGTTGTCCTCCTCTTCGAGTGCTTCAAAAAAGTGACATTAATTCACCCAGACGGATGATCACATGTGCGTCTCGATGAATTAGAATTCCCCATTCGCACATGTGATACGGAGTGATGTCTATTTTCGAAACATGTATATATTTTGCATCCGAGATACCAAGTGCTGAACTATGTTGTTCTAGAATGCATCTCTGTTTGCTAAGCAACAGGTTTACATCTCCAGCTCAGAGGTATAATTTATACAACAGCGTCTAGCGTGTGAACGACGAAAATCCGTAGAAATTACTCGACTACTACATTTTACGAATTTTATCTCTTTAGTAGTGACGTATTGAAGTGGATATGAACATGGCCATCTTCTGGATCATGGGTAGAGCGGCAGCGTCGAAACTGGCGTTCAACTACCAAAAAGCCCC